CCAGTCAATACAGGGGAAATTAAAATCTCCAGCCAGTTCTACTCTGTTATTTCTATAGGTATCTGCAATTTCTCTATGCAAGTGCTCCTCTAGTACCCACTGGCCACTTGGAGGTTTATAATACAGTCCCAATAGTGTGACCATCCCCTTCTTGTTTCTAAGTTCTAATCATATGGTTGCATTTGATGACCCCTTAAGAATATCCTCTCTAAGCACTGTTGTTACGTCCTCCCCTATCAAAAGGGCAACCTCCCCATCTTGCTTACTTGCATTTCTGTCACACTTGTAGCTTCTGTATCCAGGAACACTGAGCGGCCAGTCCTGCCCTTCTCTCAGTTGTGTTTCTGTTATGGCTATAATATCCCAGTCCCCAGAGCAATCCATGCTCTGAGCTCATCTACCTCACCAGTCAGGCCTCTGGCATTGAAATAAATGCACTTTAAACCAGAAGTCTTTTCCCTCCCTTCACTGTGCCTCTGGCTATCCTGAATAGTAAACTTGCTCTCTGTGGCTAATGTATTTTCCCCTGACTTCTCAATGGCCCCTCTCTTATTTAAAGTCCCACCCCTCTGCCAAACTAGTTTAAACCCTCCCAGGTAACAGTAGCAAATCTCCCCCCGATGATATTGGCCCCCCTCAGGTTCGAGTGTAACCCATCCCTCTTGTACAGGTCACCTCTAGCCCAGATGAGATCCCAATGATCCAAGAACTGAAAACTCTGTCCCCTACACCAGCTCCTCAGCCACGCAGTCATCTGGCTTTTCTTTCTATTTCTATCCTCACTGGCACGTGGCACTGGGAGTAATCCGGAGATCACTACCCTTGACCTAATTTAGGAATATTCCATTATAAACAACCGCACTGACTTGTTGGGCCAAATGGCTAGTTCTGTTACCCTACAGAATATGTAGTGATGGAGAAGGCTCAAGAGGCTGACTATCTCACTATTACTTCTTTGAGTTCAAAGCAGTACAACAACCACAGGGATGAGGGCTGGAGGTGTAGATACAAGTGGCAGGGTTTTGAAGGAGATTCTGGAGATTATGAAGATAAACATGGTCTGCTGGACCAATCTAACAGATTCAATAAATAGAAGGACGTTTATCAATAGGAAACTAAGATTTTGAAAGCAATCTGATCTGCAGCTTATTTGGAGAGCTTGAACGGAAAAGAAATACACTTCAAAGAACATTCTTTAGAAAGCTGTGTTTGTATCCAGAGGCTTGGCACCTTTAGAAATGCCAGTAAACACTTTTGATGAAAGATAATTGAGTTCAAAACCTTGCTGATCTGTTTTCTATTCTGCTTGTAGAACAGTCTTTTACAGAGTTGGGTCTAGGCCCGAAACGTCAGCCTTCCTGCTCCTATGATGCTGCTTGGCCTGCTGTGTTCATCCAGCTCTACACCTTTTTACAGAGTTTTGTCTGGTGGAACATTCACTTGACAAGCTTTTTTTTATTTAGCAATCCATTTGCTCTCCATTATCAAGGCAGTCTTCCTCCATCTCTAAGGCATCGAACCTCTCTCTGTCAGCCTCTGTTCAGCTTCATCACTGCTCCAATGATAATCTGTGCCTTTGTCACCTGAGTAATCCAACTCTCTCCTGAACAGCTTTCCATCTTCAGAGCTCCTTTAATTTGAGTTCTTCCAAAAATACCCCAAAAATTCTTCTAAAATCCTGCAGCCTGTAGCCTAACCTGCATCAAATGCCATATACCCATCATACCATGCTCACTGGTCTTATTGCTCAGTTTTGAAAATCTCATTCTTGTTTTCAAATCATCTGTGACCTCACCTGCTCTCTCTCTCTGTCATCTCCTCTAATTCTCCGAAATTCCTGAGCTTTTCCTCAGGCCAGTCAGGAAATTTGTCATGTCCATAAGGTCCCTCACCAACTTCTACCGATGCACCATTGAAAGCACACTGTCCGTGTGCATAACGGTCTGGTACGGCAACTGCTCTGCCCAGAACTGTAAGAAACTACAGAAGGTGGTGTGATCAGCCCAGACCATCACGGAAACCAACCTTCCATCCATGGTTTCTATTTACATGGCTTGCTGCCAGGGAAAGGCAGCCAACATCATCAAAGGCCCATCGCACCCCGGTAATGTTCTCCTACAGCCTCTCCCGTCAGGCAGGAGATACAGAAGCCTGAGCACACGCACCAGCAGGTTCAGGAACAGCTTCTTCCCGGCCGTTATCAGACTGTTGAATGGACTCTCGTCTCAAATAACGCTGATCTTGCTAACATTGATGTCACCTAGCACACTCCCTGTGCAATGTAACTTGTAGGCCTCTAAGTTCGTACAACCTTTGATTTGTACATCCTTGCTTACTGTGATCTTGCCAGTACTGCTCGTAAGTAAAGTTTTTCACTATACTCGGTACACGCGACAATAGATCAATGAATCAATCAACCATTTAATTCTGGCCCCTGACACATCCTTGCCCTTAATCACTTCAGCATTGGTGGCTGTGCCTTCAGCTGTTTGGGTCCGAGATACTGGAAACTCAACCCAAAGCTTCTCTGTCCCTCTAAACCCTTCTCCTCAAAATGTAGTTCTTTGACTGAGCTATTAATCATTTGCCTTGACAGGTTCTTGTGCGGCTGGTAATCTTAACGATTCTGAATCAGTGGAATTCCCTGCCCAGTGAAGCAGCTGAGGATACTTTGTTGAATGTTTCTTAAGGCAAAGATAGATTTTCGAACAGTAAAGGAATGAAGCGTTATGGTGTGTGGCCGGGTAATTGGAGCTGGGTCCACGAGAAGATCAGCCATGATCTTATTGAATGACGAACCAGGCTCGATGGGCCAAATGGCCTACTCCTGCTCCTATTTCTTATGTTCTCTTGCTTGATTGCATTCCTGTGAAGTGCCTTGGGGTATTTTATGATGTTAGAGATTCTATATAAATACAGTATTGTTGTTGTTGCACTGGTAGCTTTTTACCTGTTATCGTTATTGCTTTGTTCAGGGCACCTCACCATCAATTGTCAAGTTACAATAAAGACACCTTCGAACATAGAAACATAGAAAGTAGAAGCAGGAGTTGGCCAGTTGGCCCCTCCAGCCAGCTCCACCTTCAATATGATCACGGCTGATCATCCAATTCAGTAAACTGTTATAATGAAACAAAGAATTTGGAAATCTGAAACAAAAGCAGAAATTGCTGGAGAAACTCAGCAGGTCTGGCGGCATCTGGGGAGAGAGAAACAGAGTTAAAGTTCTGGGTTCTGAAGAAGGGTCCCTGGCCTCGAAATGTTAACTCTGTTTCTCTCTCCCCAGATGCCGCCAGACCTGCTGAGTTTCTCCAGCAATTTCTGTTTTTGTTTCAGTGCCGTGTTCCAGGTTTCTTCCCAGTAATCCTAAATGGCCTACCCCATACCCTTAGTCTGTGACCACTGGTTCTGAACTCGCCACTCACTGGGAACATCCTTCCTGCATTTACCCTGTGTCTACAACTTTCAACATTCACTACTTGTGACTGAGCAGGATTTGTTCACCAAACAAATCTGATTTTTATTGGCTAATTTCGCACTGGAAAGGTAAAAGGGGAAACAAGCTTTTAAAAAATTCAAGCAGCACTTTCCATAATTACAGCATGCATATTTATGAGCTGATTGTGTTAATGCTTGGGTGTAAATGTGTTAAATAATGCAGATTATGCTCTGACAGCTTTTATTAAACATGCCACTGCCAGAATTATCGGACGGTGAAATTGCTGCTGTCTTGACCCATTATTAACTGCAAATTCATGTATCTTTTTGACACGAGTTGGATAGCTTGACCCTACTTGAATTTGTTAAATGTTCATTCATGGGATGTGGACATTGCTGGCTGAGCCAGCGCTGATTTTACAACACTAACTGATTCGAGGAGGTGGCGGTGGGCTGTCTTCATGAACAGGGGTGGAACTGTGGCTCAGTGGTTAGCACTGCTGCCTCACAGCGCTGGGGACCCGGGTTCAATTGCATCCTGTATGGGGTGCGCGTGTGCGTGTGCGCGTGCGCGTGTGCGCCAATCCTCCAGGTGCTCTGGTTTCCCCCCACAGTCCAAAGATGTCCGGGTTAGGTGGATTGGCCTTGCTACATTGCCCATAGTGTTCAGGCTTAGGTGGATTAGCTGTGGGAATACAGGGATAGGGTAGGGGCATGGATCTGGGTGCTCTTCAGAGGGTCAGTGTGCACCTGATGGGTGTAATGGTCTGTTTCCACATTCAATTGAATTGAATTATTTATTGTCACGTGTATTCAATGTAAATATACAGTGAAAAGAGTGTGCCTTACAATAAGATGAGGGAAAAGGAAGATAATTTAAGAGAGATAGTAGGAACTGTAGATGCTGGAGTCAGAGATAACACAGTGTGGAGCTGGAGGAACACAGCAGGAAAGGCAGTATCAGAGGAGCAGGAATGGTGACGTTTCGGGTCGGGACCTTTCTTCAAAAAATGAACTTAAGAGAGTCCAGATTTGCTTGCCATGCCTCCACCAGAGTCCGACTCCAGGCTTTCCAACCCTTACCATGCTACTGCCAGCTGCCAATCCAGCCCTGTCACTCCGGCCCACTTCCAATCTGCCCCTGTCACTCTGGCCCACTCCAGCCCACTCCCAATCCGGCCCTGTCACTCGGGCCCACTGCCAATCCGCCCCTGTCACTCCGGCCCACTCCGGCCCACTCCCAATCCGGCCCTGTCACTCCGGCCCACTCTCAATCCGCCCCTGTCACTCCGGCCCACTCCCAATCCGCCCCTGTCACTCTGGCCCACTCCCAATCCGCCTCTGTCACTCCGGCC